TGTAGGAAGACAAATGGCTATTTGTACACAGAGTAACTGCCCCCTCTAAGAAGCTCTGAAAGGTATTCTTTAATCCAGAGCTGTTCTGAAAGCCAGCACAGTGCACCTCGCATGACACGTGTGACAGACACAGCCGCACGGGAGATCACGACAGGTGATAACCTTATCGACTTCCGGGCACTTAGGCAGCGTAGCTCATTTGAGATCGAACAAGATAATGACAAACTTTAATTGTCAGATGGGTTTCCTTCTCAAACTCAGTCACATCATTTCAGAGTCCCACCTCCCTTTGCACACGAATCAGACCTGCATCAGACACGGGGTAGAGCTGACAAGCTCTCCGTGCAATGAGGTACCACAATGATGCTGTAGGAAAAGCAGTGTATGACGTGGAGAGATGTTCAAACCACATTTATTGTTCAGCACCAAAACAGTTACAAAGAGATAGAACCTCACTTCTGTAAATAAATAAAGGTTTTCAAAAAATATACTGGTACACTGCAATAGGGATATTTTAAAACTGGCTTTTTTTTTTCTTCTTATTTCTATCCACATAATATTTTTATAATTTAAAAACATGTTTTAATTTAAACATACAAGTATACAAATGATTGCACAAACCAAGCTATGTTTCAGTTACTGTGTAAATTCTCAAGGGTGGTAAAAAAAAAAAAATTTTAAAAAAAGAGTTCTACTTAGCAAATTTCTCAAAGGATGGTAAAATAAATCAAAAAGGAGTTCTACTTAGCACTGGCTTCATTTAACATGTAAGAATTCCAGGAGTTTAATACAGGAGTATGTCTACTAGAATCCCCCTAAACAGGGAGATACACTAAAAAAGCAAAGCCTCTCCAGCAAAACTCAATGGATAAATGTATCAGCTGCGGGCCTTAAAGCTTTTAGCCTCTAACCCAAGGATGGTTGGGACACCCGAGAGGCAAAGTTCTAGTAACTTCCTTCAGTTTGTGAGAATCTGGAAAGACACAGCTCCCCAAAGCCCCAGAACCGAGCAGTCCTTAAAGACAAACCCACCTTTATCTTTTTAATCTGGGAAAAGTGTCACCAGGCTCCCACCCCCAAGACCCTCATGGTTCTCAATACTTAAACTGTGCCACGAGCGATGCCGGCTTACAGGAACTGAAAAAGACTCCTGACCACAGAATAAAAAGGGCGGAGCACGGAGACCACGGTGCTGAGCGCAAAGATCAAGGCGATGAGGGCAAAGACCAAGATGGTGCCGGGGCACAGTGTGCAGCACAGCGTGTGCGAAGGAGCCGACTGCCACAGAAGACTGATGACACCTGCCCGAAGGATTTCATTGCTCCACACCGCAGCCTACACGTGCAGAAGGCTCCTTTCCCATCCAGGAAAAGGGGCTATCAGAGTGCGAGCTCACCCTTCTCCATCCCTTGATCAAAAAATAATTAAACGCTTCTGCTCTGCTTGACCAAACTCGGTGCTTTAATCCACTGGTGCAAATGCTGCTGAGCAGAGGGACCTCGGTATGGTCCCTGACCCAGAAGGGCTGGTAACAAAAGGTCCCCGAGACCTCCAACCAGGTGGGTGACCCAGATGGATGGCTGGCAAGCAGTCCAAAGCCATCTATCTACACGGCCGGCCTGACAGGTCAGTCCGCATCTTTGCCAGATGGCAAGCAGGGGCAGGTGCTTCATTGGCAAGGCGGCAGGCTTACCGTGGCTTCTCCCTAGAAGGACAGTCCAGCCACCCATAACTGAAAGGAACTACGACCGATAATCCATTTGAGGCGGCCCGGAATTGTGCAAATGCGGTCACAGGGAAACTTTCTCATCAAGAGGCCTCCTTCGGGGTGATTGATTACTTAGAGTTGGGTATACTGTATTATCTATGAGTAATAATCGCTCACACCGGACAGCATGCTAATTATAGAATGCAGCGACTTAGAAATAAAACATTATTTAGCATTTCCTTAAATTGTTTCAAACTCTTGTTAACGCTGCCGTAAGCCGAGTGAAATTGGTGGCTTCGGAGAGTTAATGCGGTGCAGGTCAGCAGTCATCTGGACATCCAATGTAGCTGAACATTTCACGAGTTCTGTGTAAGCCCAGCAGTGGAAGGAGCCCGTTAGCTCCGTATGCTTTCCTTGTCCTGCCTGTGTGCCTGTCACCATCGCCCGAGGACCACAGCCCTCTCCCTCGACCGGCAGGTTTGTGATTAAAGGACAGACCTTTAAGATTGGAGAGAGGACTCTTTATAACCTAGATAGCCTACTCATCACTTGCCAAAATTCATAATACATACCTGGAAATGCTACCAGATCAAAACCACAATGAGACCACCTCATACCTGTTAACATGTCTATTATCTAAAAGATAAGAGATGAATGCTGGCACGGAGATGGAAGCAAAGGGGATGCTAGTACATGATGATGGTGGGAGTGTAAACTGGTGCAGCCGCTACGGGACACAGTATGGACACACCTCGAGAAATTAGGAACAGCACTGCCATAGACAGAATCCCACAATCCCCCTTACGGGTACCTCGAGGAAACAAAACCATTATCTTGCAAGTATTCAAAACAGCCAAGGTATAAAAACAACCTGTGTCCATCGCTGGATAAATGGATCAAGAAATTGCGGTATATATACACACCGTAGTATTATTCACCCTTAAAAGAGTAGAAGATGCCAAAACCGGTTTGGCTCAGTGGATAGAGCATCGGCCTGCAGACTGAAAGTTCCCGGGTTCGATTGCAGTCAAGGGCATGTATAATACCTTGGTTGCGGGCACATCTCCAGTAGGGGATGTACAAGAGGCAGCCAATCGATGATTCTCTCTCATCGATGTTTCTAACTCTCTATCCCTCTCTCTTCCTCTCTGTAAAAAATAAATGAAATATATATATTTTTTTAAAAAAGAGTAGAAGATCCGGTCCTTTGTGACAACATAAATGAAACTGGAGATATGATGCTAAGTGAAATGAGCCACATGGAGAAAGACACATAGTGTGTGGCATTACTTAGTGTGTCACCTTAAAAAAAAAACAAAAAACGTTCAACTCAACAGGAACAGAGGAGAAAAGTGGTTGCCAGGGGGAGGGGTTGGGAGAATAGGGAGAGGTTGGCAAAGGACCCACTCTCCATTCTGAGGGGCATAAGGCCTGAGGATTTAACATATAAGGTGGTGCCTACAGCTGATCACACTGCAGTGCAGAACTGAAATTTGCAAAGACAGAACTTAAATGCATTCACCACACTAAAATGTAACCAACACACAGAAAATGAAACAAAGCAGGTACATACGTGAGGTGATGGATGAGTTAATTAACTCGCCAAAGCACCCAAAATAAAGTGTTGGTGGAGAGTATGCGTATTATGACTGCAAGGATACTGATTTACCTGCAAGCGCCTCTTCAAGTTACTTGAATATTAAGATTTTTCAGGAGCAGATAATTGTGCTCCTGTGTACTACACTCCACTCAGCTCCTCTGATTAACATCTGAATTAATTGGGAAATATTTGAATTGTGGACTGATGAGATACCATATAATCAAAACCGTTCCCAAGAACTGAGGTATTGCTTCACAGGATTCCCTTGGAGAAGGAGATTCCGTGGTCAAACAAGTGCGGGACATCAGCTCCCTCCCACGGCCCCCTCCCGGGAAGTCACAACACACCTTAGCTTATTAAGGATTCGGAGAAGGCCTGTAATTAAGAAAAGTGTTTAAGTGCACAGATGCGACTCTTTACCTAAACACATTATCTTGTTCAGAAGGCACAATTTTGGAAATACTGGCGTAGTCAAAAGGCTCCAGAGCAGCCATCAAAAACACCCCAAGGATTACTCACCAGCGGTTTGCTGTCACTGGTACATGGATCGGGCCACCCATCCCCCACACCACTGGGCACCAGGGAAAGAGTGACATTAAAAGCACTTCATACAGCTCCCGGAGGGCAGCCCGACACACAACGTGCTCAGCAGGTACTGAGTCGTTCTCCAGGGAATGTTCCAGGTTGCCTCGTCACCCCCCCCAAACCCAGGATGGCTCCTTTTGTGGGCCACTCCCTTAGGATTCCAGGTCTTTGGAGGCCTCCCAGCCCCTGGGCCCCTGGCTGGTGTGGGTGGCAGGCCCCTGGATTTGGAGACAAGCCGCAGGGGAGAGAGCCAGGAGGGAGCCCTGCACTGGGGAAAACCCAGCCGGTGATGTGTTCCCTTGGCCTCAACCTCTGCACGGGGACACTTCTCCTGCTGCGGGTGCAGCACAGAGCGGGGCGAGGCGCAGGAGTTCAGCTTCCCACGTCCACACCACGCTCCCCTTTCCCCGAGGACCCACGTGGTTCTCGGTGGGGACCCACAAGGGCTGGATCAATATTGCATCAACTTAGTGGGAGGACAATCTTAGCACAAAACATGTCACAACCCCAAAACAGAAAGCATCATAACAAAGAAATCATGTCAGACCAGCTCCTATTCAACCTCTGAATCCTCATTTCAACAATCAACAAGGTTCCTTCAAAAAAACTGTTGTTTTTGTTATTATTATTATTACTATTTTTAGAGAATGATAGGGAGCCTGCTGCTATTATTATTATTATTATTATTATTAGAGAGTGATAGGTAGCCTGCAAGCAAGGTACGTGCCCTTAACAGGAACTGAAGCCAAGACCCTTCAGTCTGTGGGCCGGTGCTCTAACCACTGAGCAAAACTGGCTAGGGCCAAAGAACTGTTATTTATTTTTTTTTGTAACTCCTCTGGTCCCTCTGCTCACCTCAAAGGCAGCACCCAGAATGTGAGCAGCAGGGGCCCGGGGTCAGTGGAATGTAGGACAAGGAATTGGGTTTTCGTACACAATTCGCCCAACCACTAAACCACAGGGTCTTTGTTAAGGTCAAAATTATCATGAAACATTATTGACACAGTACACAGTGAGCGCGGCTCTGCAGCTGTTGCAAACACGAGCCACAACTCAGAAACAATCAACATGGAAAAAAGATAAGAAGGGGCTATTGGTGTTACTCACTGTTCACGTAAACATTGAATGTCACCGACGAGTTGACATCAGAATTGGACACCAGAAACGTGTACGTGCCTCCTTCGGTCCCTTTTAAGCGGGTTAGGTGAAGCTCACTCACATATCTGCAAAGAGAGGGCAGCATGTCAGTCACTACGGGCTGCTGCCTTGAATACATGTCTTTTCGGTTTCTATCTGGGGAAAAACAGATCACTTAACCCAGCATTAGCAAGATCCACATTAACACACACACACACACACACACACATTTGATTTGGGACAAGTACCTGTTGTGTGAGAACACAGAGGCTTTCTCAGCATCCAGGCGACCCCACAGGCACACAGCCTCTCCTGCCTCCTGAGCTGTCCTCACAGCCGCCTTGTCACCAATGTCCTAAACCCGCCTGCCCTGCTTTGCTTGAAGGCGACAGGCCGGGATGAACCCCAGACTGGCAGGCTGTCTCCATGCAGACGCTGCAGGGCCCTCGAGGCAAGGTCAATGCCGTTACCCTCACCGTCCTTCTTGCACCGATATCCCGGTGTTCCTCGACCCCACTTCTTCTGAGCGTCCTCTGCGTATCTGCTACTCAAGCTCCTGTGTTACTGCAGGGCCGCCAGATACGGCTGTGTCGGCTGAGCACATAGGACTGTTGGGGGAGCCACTGGCATGGGCTCCAGGGTAGATGGGGCGCCCTGGCAGCTCTGGACCCACACAACCACCTAGACGCAAGCAGTGGTGTGTTCACATTCCTCTCAGACTGTACACGCTCCTGGGCAATCCGCTCTTGCTCTGAACTGCTTGCTGTTTGCTCACTTTCAGACCTTTCCCTCTGGTCCAGACTCCTCTGGCCTAGGCCTTCTCTACAGAGCTATGTTTATGTTCCCCCTCCCCCCTGCCTAGGTGCAGGTATAAGGACCCACACACCTGCAACCTTCTCCCACGACTCGCCCTTGGGCAGTTAGGTGCCCTTGAAAGTTGACTGCTTTCCTTGTGTACAGCCCATGAGTGGCTGACCCCAGACAAAAGCCCAGCTCCAGAGCACTCTGGGGTCAGACTGTGCCTCAGCTTCACCTCACCCACTTCCTCTTTCCTCCTTTCCCCTCCCTCCCTACCCCCCCCCCCCCCCCCCCGCAACTCCCTGGCAGGTCTCTGTCTCCCGTAGTGAAGCCCTTGACTCTGGCTCTGCTTCTAGGGAACCTGCCCTAGGACACTTCCCACCTGAACATCACCTCTCGAGATGCCACAGTCAACTGCAAATTCAAGATACCCGAAGCCCTTAGCCCCCTCATCTCCTTGAATGAGATTGCCTCTCACCCTCCAACCTGTCTGACGGATCCTACAGGCTTCTTCAGCTCCTTTCCCTCTCTCTCTTATCCCCGCAATCACCCGGTGTTGGTAAGGAAGTAGCCTGAACACCTCCCAAATCCACCCATCCTCTTCCCTCCAACCCTTAAGCGTTGGTTGGCCCGGGACAGCATTCTCTCTCACCCACATTTTTACAACAGCCAACAGCTCCTGACTGGAAAAAATACCCAAACTCTGGATAAATACACAAACTCTGTCTATATAAATACACTTACCTCTTACTGACCCTTTGATCTGAGTCAAATTACTTCTCTAGAAATGAGGGAAATAAGAGTGCCTACTCATAGGTTTGTGGGACTAAAATTATCGAGTTAACATATGAAAGGTACTTAGAACAGCATAAGGTACACGCAGTTTACATAAAACATATTACTGCCGCTGTTTTTATTATAATTGTTTTAAGGATGAAACAAGAGATCTGATGTAAAAAGAGCTCTGGTTCACTGCCTAGCCCAGGGCTACTCAATGATTTTTAGTTTCTTAATAGTTTTAAAAAAAAATGATTCAAGGTGGTAATTTCCCCCTTCCTCTAAAGTAAATTAGTTAATAAGTCCTGTACATGGAAGTCACTGCTTTGAAGTATCCTCAGAACTGTGGGCAAGAACAATCCTCTATTTTACGAATGAGAAGACAGAGGCACAGGCTTTTTTCTGTGCTCTAAACACGGGGCAACATTAATGCTGGGATGAGGGCTTCAGGAAGCACCCCGGAGTTCCTCCTTGGCTAGAGGGCCTCTCCTACGGTCACAGAAATGGGATCTGTAAGCCAGTGAGAGAGGGGAAATGGGAAATCCCCGGAGCAAGACCCTTTTCTCACCTGATATTACTTTCATTCTCAGACTTGGGGTAATTATCCCACTTATCAGTGAAGGTCTTGTTCATATATATCCACTGCTGGCGTTCAGGTTTAGGGTATGCCTCGTATTCAACAGTCAGATCGACGTTTTCTCCATCATTTACAAATCTTGTCGTATTCGCCATAGGGATGATATGAATGAATCCTTTATCTAAGTGTAACGGAATAAAACAGAAAGAAACCGTTACCTACAACTACCCAACAAAAAACAACAACACAACTTCGTCGTTGGAATACAAACATAGCTGACTGATTTCCAACATGAACTGGCAATAACAAGAAAGAGGGTTTAAATTAGCCATTTGACATTTACTTTGCTCTTGAAGAATCACCGTCATGAAGGAAGAAAGGACACACATGTGAAATGTTTATTCACCCATCTCTACCTCTTCAGCAATTCTCTTATTTCAAGACCTATCATCATCTTATAAATCTTCTAGTACTAGTCTTGATGCTTATTAGGTTAACAAAAGCATTTGTAGGACTAAATAGCCCATACCCCGACTCAATATAAGTGTTTATTTGATAAGAAGGTGACATAAATCAAAAAGGCACAGACAGCCTCAATGCTCAATAAAAAAATGTTGCACTTGGAAAATAAACGCTGGTCATCTCATCTATCATACATTACAGATGAACCAACGACAGCATTTTAACAAACCATGTTTGTAACTAAACAACAGAACTGACTCCCATCAAACATCTACAGGGTGGGGTGGGGCAGTCTCCTCCGTTTTTCAGAAGCAACAGAAGAAAAAAATCATAAAAGACAAATCTGGATACATAAACATTTTTAAATGTCTATATAGTAAAATTAATGAAAGTAATAGAAAAAGAGAACATAAAAATATAGAAGGAAAAAACATTTAATAATTAAAATAAGGAATCACTTTCACTTATCACAAATAGCAAAACTGCAATAAAGCTGCTTCAAAAAATAAAAGTGTATCCATCCTATTGAAAGAAAAACAGCAAAACTAATTTGAAATAAATAATTTTGCAAGTGTGGGAAAAGTGATAGATTGAATAACACTCTGTGAACTGACACAACTCTTGGAAAGCACTTAGCAATGAAGATTTTTTTTTAAAAATTATTCTTCAGTTTAACCCTGCAATTTCCATTTGAGAGCTCCTTTTAGTGAGGTGAATTGCTACATACAAAAAAAAGTGCTATTTACATGAGTTATAATAATTTTAAAAATAAAAAACTGGTTAAATAAATAAAATAGCCCTTAGATATAATTATTTAATAGTAATATTAGAAGAGCTTAAAAAATAACCCAATAAAATTATTGCCAATATTATTTTTATAGCTACCATTTATGGAATATTTACTATGTGCCAAGAACTGCCCTAAGTACTTTAGCATACATTTTATTTAATAGCTTGAGGCTCAGTGCACGAAATTTGTGCAGGGGCAGCGGGAGGGGTCCCTCAGCCTGGCTTGTACCTTTTCCAATCCAGGACCCCTTCGACATCCCTCTCACAATCCGGGACCACTGGCTCCTAACCACTCACCTGCCTGCCTGCCTACTTGCTTGCCCCTAACTGCCCTCCCCTTCCAACCTGATTACCCCTAACTGCTTCCCCTGTCAGCCTGATAGCCCCTAACCATCTTTGCCTCAGCCCCCACCACCTTGGCTTTGTCCGGAAGGAAGGCAGGAGATGTCTGGTCAATCCAGTCTATTTGGCATATTACTCTTTTATTTTATAGATTATAACAAATGTCTAATCTTAGAATGCTGAAAGAGAAAGCCTATAACCCCTAACTTACAGATGGAAAACATCAAGTCCTGGAAAGCCATATGGCTAGTTATCCAATGGGAGAGCCCAAATTTGAATACAGGTCTATGAAAAGCTAAGGCTGACCTCTTCTTACTATAGCATATCTTAGGGTGTCTACTTTCATTGAGAAAGAGAGAGGAAGAGAGAAAGAGAATGAGAGAGGGAGACAGAATGAGTTGTATATACAAATAAAGCTCTGTTGCATACAAAAATATAAATATAACAAATCCTAATGGTTATATCAAGTCAGTGGAATTATAAAAGAATTTTTAATTTTCTGATTGTTGCCCTAACTGGTTTGGATCAATGGATAGAGCATCAACCTGCGGACTCAAGGGTCTCAAGTTTGATTCTGGTCAAGGGCATGTACCTTGGTTGTGGGCACATCCCCAGAGGGGGGTGTGCAGAAGGCACCTGATCGATGTTTCTCTCTCAACAATGTTTCTAACTCTCTCTCCCTCTTCCTTCCTCTCTGTAAAAAATCAATAAAATACATTTAAAAAATTTTTCTGATTGTTTTAAAAAATTATGGAATTTAAAATTATCACTATTTTTAATGCTATTTGGTTAAATATATTGAAGTCCCACATGACATAGCCAAAACAGTATTTAGTTCCCTTTAGTTTCTACAGATTCAGAACAAAAAATAGAGTCCAACTGTTCTATGTACCAATTGAAAAAGGATTTTTCAGTTGAGAATGGACAATCATCCAAATGAAAGTGGCTATGCAAACCATCATCTTTTTCTAATTCCTGAATCACAAATGATATCCTCTGCCATTCTTTAAGCTATTTTAGGTTACTTTTGAAGGATGATTGCTACACTACATTATCAGGTTTTCAAGGTTATAAATTCAAAACACACCATGGAAAAAATATTCAAATATTATAGACAGTATTACGCAAAAAATATCTCTCACCATCATCATGTATAAAATACATGTCTTGAAACCACCTCCAAGTTTTCTATCGTCTGGTTTGCTCAATATACTTTTATGTCCTATTTTGGAATAGAGCTTGAAATTCATGGAGTATAAGAATTATTAGAATAAAAGAACTCCACCTGGGTTGTTAAAACATAAAAGTATGATTTTTTTCAAGTGCATCTGCATTAGGAATCTGATAATGCTTTAATATTAAGAGCAAATACTATGGCAGGTACTTCTATAAAATCTACTGCCTTTTCTCCTTCCCTCAACTTGGGACTTAGGGCTGTGTTTCTCAGAAGAGACAAGGCAGGCAGAGGGAAACTAGGGTACATTAGAAAGTCAAGTGGCAGAGTCCCAACTCAAAACCATGTTTGGGCCGTCACATTGCCCTGTTCTCTCTACCACTCTACGTTGTATCCAAATACTATTCTACTCCATCTCCTGGAGGCATTACTCTTCTCTTTGTCTCTTCCTGGTCTTGTCCCACCCAAACCCACTCCTGAAACAATACAAAACCAGATTCAGATTTCTCAGCCACAAGTCTTTCCAGTCATACAGCTATATTCTTGGAAATTGATGAATGGATTTTTAAAAATCTGATTACATACAACAATATGCTCAAAACATCCTTACTAATTGCTTTCTGGGGCTGAAGCTGATATATCAACATGCTCCCTAATCAACTTAGCAAATTAGCACTTACTGAGTTTAATATTTTAAAAGCATAGCCTTCTATTCAAATTAATAAATGGTTCACAATCACACTTAGGGACAGAGTAGCACTCTTTCTCTGTGCTGACTCTATGTAATTGCAACCAGAGTGTCTTTTCCATGTTCAGTCTGGAGAGACCCTTTCAATTACAACACGGGCAGAAATACCAAAATTATATGAGATTATCATGGGACAAATCACGGACCTCTAACATTGCTACATAAGTTTTTAAAGAAATATGGGGAGAAAGGGAAAAAAATGAAAACAGATATGGCATCATTTTATTATTGCTGGATAAAGAATTTCCCCACCCTACAAGTACTTCATCAAAGTCAAGCACAAAAAAAAAAAAAAGGATGCATTAAAAAGACAAGAAAATAGATTAAATTCGAACAATATTCAAAAGACAAAAAAAAAATGTGTAAATGAGGTCATTTTACAATCATTATTATTTTCCATAAATCAAAACACCCAATACTTCACTACACTCTGTTCTCTTTAAGTAGATGTTTGGAAAATACGTATTTAGTGAGATTTCTAGAGTAGGGAAGAAAAGGCTACACCAATGTGGGTATCAGATATGATGGGGTTAGAGGCACGGTTACCATGTTTCAGTTTATGCTCTGTAGAACCAGTAACCCATGTCCCTGTGACCTCCTTTCTGAAGGTTCATGCAACCACCTCTAAGGTGGGGAACAGGGTAAGGCAGGGTGAGAAGGAGAAGCCCAATATCATCCCTTCCTGCTACAAATGAGCTAGAGCCATAGGTGATAAAACAAGAAACCAAAAGGATGAGGAGCCCCACCTAAAGATTCAGAGTAATAACTTTGTTTTAAGCATTTTTATTCCTCAACAGAGAAATTCCACATCCATTTCCAAACTCATGTCACTCAGCAAGGACAAGAATTTTTGAAAAAACTCAAATTATACTTTATTTGTTTTTGGGGGTAGGGGTGGGTAGCATAGAGAATGAAAGGTCTGAACAACTTCAGTTACACCTTCCCACTTTTCTCTCCTCAACAAGGTAGAATTTGTTTTTGTGCTCTAGATGGAAGAGATTAAAATGATCATTTTCATTCATTCATCATTCATTCATTCGGGTATGATAAGGTTTTCTAACAATATGTTCAACATTCCATTTACATAAAAAGGAAATCAGTAATTTCTTCTTGCACTACTGCCAGTAATTTATGCATCCCCATAAAGATACTTACCTACTACTTCCAAGGTTGTTGTGACATTTGCTGATCCAAAAGTATTATTGGCGTAGCACATGTACACTCCAGAATCATTCACTCTTGCTGAGCTGATCGACAGCCGATCCTGACGTACAAAATTGAAGTCACCCTGATGCCAGCTATTACTCTGTACCTGTGCTTTAGTCTGCAGGTTTTTTAAGGAGAGGGAAAATAAAAATCAAAGATTACCATAAACTTTATATTCAGGATCTCTCCTAGATAAATTAAAAATAGCAGCAATTAACTTCTCCATATTAGCATTCATCATACACTACTTAAGTAAGAATAATAAAGCATCATGACAAGTCTGTCATTGGAACACTTCACATTACAGGATTATATTGAGAGATAGTCATTATTAATGATTGGGGAAAACATGAAAATTCATTTCTTAATAACCATAGCATTCATCATTCCAAATTATCTGCAGTGCTACATGTTTTTAACAGTGCCAAATCTCAGAAGTCACTATATAAGAAATACTGCCCAATACTGATATTTTATATTGAGTCAGCATACTTACTTCGATAATTCCTATTATGTATTTTTATTCTATATTCCAGTGATTGAAAAAAAAAACAACAACAGATTGCTAATAAAAATACTGGTCTGTTGTATTAGCATGTATATTATGTTCATGCATAAAAAGAGGATCTACAACTAACTTGAAAATTCGCCCTACAATTTTTACCAAGCAGAATTTGGCAACTATCATCAAAGAGAGATCTGAGGTATATAATACACGTTGAAACCAAACCCCAACTTATTTAAGCATGAGCTGAGGAGAAAATGTTGTGAATTGCCCTTGTGATATCACCATCCCACTCTTATTATTTATCTGAAGACCAGACATGGGGAGGTTTCTTCTGTGGGACATGTCATGGGAAAAAAACAAACTAGTTGTTGTTCTCTGAAAAGATGAAAAAGAGCAGCATATAGCTTTCTGCCTTCCCAAATTTCCTGAAATGTGACACACATTCCTATTAAAAATGGAAAAAATAACAACTAAAATAGAAAGCAAAAATAGGAGCTGATAGTGACCTGGAAGGAGATCAAGGGTGATGTGCTGGCCAGGCCGCGGTGGAACGCTCGGCGTCTGGCCCTCCTGACAGTCCTGTAAATCAGAACCACCCTCTGGCAAGCAACTTGGCAGCATGTCCACACCACTGATCACTCCAGTAAATGCATCTCAAGGAAATAACTGAACAAAAACCAAGAGCGCCAAGAAATTTACTATAGTAAAAAGTCAGATGCACTAAATATATACCAGGCATAAAAATTAGGAATATGTGAAAACAAGGAAATGTTTCAATGGCTTAAAAAACATAAATTGAGTGTAACTTAAAATTGCAGCCATATGATAATACATATGCGTGGGGTCAGAAAGAAAAGAAATACGAAAAACGCAGGCAATATAGCATGTTATAAGGACTAGCCACATTGGAATGCTGAACACTTCAAAAGAAGTCATCCAAATTGAATCTAAAATATAAAATATGTCCCAAATATTGAAGCTAAAATGAAAAAAATAATGTAAAATAGCCCGTTAGTAATTTTACGTTAATAACACGATAAAAATATTTTCAATATAGTGGGTCTAATAAAGTATATCATGAAAATCAATTTTACTTTTTTACTATTTGTCAAGTGCCTCCAGAAAATTTTATATTACACAGGAGGCTCACATGGTATTCCAATGCACAGCACTGCTGTATACAAATAGGTGGAATTATACCTATTTCTCTTTCTCGTGTTAGGATAGTTCTGGAAAGTTTTTTACATTAAAATATGCACACACAAATTCTGACTGCCAACGGTGAATGTATTGGGTAAAAAGAAAAGAAACCTTTTTGTGAACTAATTGTGAGATCCTGGACAAGTCAAGAATAGCACCAGCCCTTTGTTTCTAAAAGGGTCTGAGGGAACAAGAGTTTTTAAATGCCTCTCCAGCTATGAGCACTGTGCAGATTTAAAAATACTCCCTTCTAAGAGATTCTTCTGATAATTAATTGGCAGACATCTGCCACTTCACCGCATAAGATCCGTTGTTAAGAAAGTGAAATAGCGAGGTGAAGTGACATTTTCTCTAGCCTTGCTCAGTCCATCATGTTACAGACTTCTCTGCAAAGGCATAGTGACAATGGACAGATAATATACCAGGTTCCAGATTCCAGATATCTTATCCTTACAGTTCTTACAAGGGCCCAAGAGTCTGCCTTTGGGAGCTACAGAGGAGGACACTGAACATGTGAGTGCCAACGTGGACATAAATGATGCAATGTCCACACATACCCCAAAGACAGTAATTTTGGATGCTGATCATAATCAAAAGCAAGTAAAAATAGACAGATTTATAAGCATTAGAAAAGCTAACCAAGACTTACAAGTGCTGAATAGATTTCAGAGTCTCTTACTAAAAAAAAAAAAAAAATTGCAAAAACTCTAAAACAGTTTACCCAATATTTCATTGAGTTACACGACTCTAAATGGTTAGAATCAAATACTATAGATTTTAAAGATAATTTGATAGCGCTAACAGTGCTAAGTATTCTGAATTAAGCCGAAGGATATCAATAAAAGATTCATAGATGAACCTTGGCCCAGAGCCACGAGCCCCATCTGCAAGTCACACATTACATATTGCCTGCATGTGATTTGGTTTTCCTTAACCCTTGATGGTGCGCACACTGGGATTTCCCCAAAGAGCTCCCAACGCAGAGCGCTTATCTACCAGGGCCAGTGGATTAATTGGGAATGGCATCCAGGGCTCCAGGGAAAAATGGTTCAGAGCAAACTGCCTGGGGCAATTTAATTTCTCCTCTCAAAAAAAGGCTAATTTTCAAGTTATGCTGAAGCTCAAAAACACACACAAGCTAAACTGTCCTCTCATCTGAAATCAAGAATTATAAACAGCCGATTAATAGAGGATTGTGTTCAGGAAGGTTGGTCAAAAGTCCACACATAAGCCATTGTTTTTATTAAACTACACGATATGGGAACTAAAGCTTATGTCTCTGAGCCATTGGTTTGAAAGAACCAGTCCATGGGACAATCCATTCTTCCAGTCCATGGCAGGCTTCATTTAGCAAGGTATCATCCATCACAGGCCCACATGAATACCACCATGATGCTTTGCCTTATGCTAATCACCATGGTTACTTGTTTAGCAAAGAATTCTTTTGAATGGCATAAAATTGCCATTGTTGAATACAGGGCATGATGAGGAAGAAGAGAAACAGGAGAAAAATATAGCCTTTCTTTTTATTCCAATGTGATGCATACATACATACATACATACATAATGAAAAAAAAAAAAAAATCACCGTGACAGCTAACTAGCTAGATGGCCAAGATTATTCAAACAAAAATTACTAAAAAATTCAGTCAATGAACACTGTAAACAAAATATTAGAGAAATTAGACATGTTAAAGACCCTGCATTTAATATGAGTATTTTAGAGAGAGAAAAAAAAAAAGCTTCAAATATAACTGGCTAAAATTTATTTCATTTTAAGATATACCTAACATAGTAATTTGACATATAGTAGACATTTGATATGCATTTGTTAAATGAATGAGAACATAAACCTGTCCGAATGTTTCAGATTGAAGATAACCATTTTATTAATAGCAACTAAAACAAATAGAAAACCATTAGCAACTTGATCGCAGGTAATCAGCCTCAAAGGAGGAAATCAGATCCATACAAAAAGAAACCCATCTCTCACGTAGATAAGCCACTTTGCGAGGGAGAAAAGAGCTTCCTGGTCAATATCTGAAACGAGTTATTCTTTTTAAATATGGAAGAGAAAAAAAAAACAAAAAACTGGCAACTCTTCCCAATATTTTAAATAATCTGGTCTGAGGAGTATCAATCACAGCTTTGAAAATCAAGATATTTATGCAGATAACCATTAGTTTTGTGTTTTTTAATTTCCCTAATTTGAAGTTGCTTTAAACACACACACACACACACACACACACACACACACACACACACACACAGCATGAGGCAATAACATAATTCTGAAGTTATCTTGTAGATTATCTAAAAACAAATGTACAAAATGACATGTACTTTTTACCAATAATAAGCGTACACAGCCACATATGGTGTTATGAAAGGGGGAAATATGCATCTGCACATCCTCCCAGACAGTCCCCCCTCAGACAGACATGCCAGCTGAGCCATCCCCCAGGACAATTAATAGACGTTAAAAAAAAATGTGAAAATCTCCCACATGCAGACAATGATATATTGAGAAACATGAAGGAAAACAATTCACTCACCTGGCTGTTTTCCTTTATCCACATGGAGTCCACAGAGCTAGACACATCCTTTATGGAGCATGTCACTGTGAATTCTTCCCCTTCCCGAAGAAGAGAGCTTGATTTGGACACCGTCACCACCGGTACAGCTCTGATGGCTGGAATGAAAAGAGACGTGGCCCTCAAATAATTCGTCCTATCAAAGCATGGCATGTTTACTTACCGTTTCCCCCCAAATGCACACAGCTTCTTCTGGCATCTTTGAAGTAAAAACACGAAGAATGGTGCTAACTGATCTGTATGACTTACTTGCATATCTAAAGACATCAACAATTACACCATGCATCACCCTTCAAGTACGTTCATTAATACTGAGTGGGGAAAACAGGAGTGTCTACCCTTAGATCAGACCGCTCCTGGTCAATGTTACTTCAAAACAGGTAGAAGCCCAGGCGAGGGGACGCAGCTTTTACCTTCATCTCAGACAGCCCTGCCGGTTTCGTGAGGATGTGACCTACAACTCATTATATTCTCCTAATCCAACCAAACAGGCATCTTTCCCATGTGATGTAAAAATGGCATCTTGCTCGTTTCTGAAAAATCCCAGGTCTTCAATAATCAAATGTTCCCTTAATCCCAGTGAGTGTACTTTTCCAAAAGCCTTAATAAAAACTATTCAATAGCTGATTGCCAGCTGGTGTTGAGTGAGATGGCCTCTGAAGTACCAAAGTCTAAATCTCTACCTGCAACCAAAATAATGTACCTATAATGTCACAATGAGGCCCATGGTTAGTTGGCACATTCCTCCTCGGATTTATGAGTCGTCTGAGAATGCATTAAAATTAAATAGCTGAGGAGAAAGTTGGCCCACATATCAATAGTAAAGAGGGGAGTGAACAAATGTGTATGCTAATCTCTTCAAACAGTGTAACTAAAGCTTCCCAACGGGTTTCTCTTGGAAAGAACACTTCATGCAATTACGAAACCGGCATGTCCTCAAGTCAATAGGTTTTATGGCTGTCCCCGGGATGGTCTACATGCCAGTCTCTGGGAGACATACCCAGCTGAAGGCAGTCCCGGCTAGTCCCCTGGGGAATAAAGAATTCACAAGCAGCTGGCATTATTTCAAGTTGGGGGAATGAATGAGCCGGCCGCCTGACGGACGGTGCTAAGATAGGCCACGGAGAAGAGAGAAGTCCTCTTTCCATCCACGGAGGGTCTGGCTCCCAGAGGAAAGTAACCAAGGGCCCGTACCTGCCCTCACTTTCAGCGTGAGTTTCTTGGACAGCACCGTCCTGCCCTTCCTGTCCGCAGAGCAGTGCAGGCAGAGCCGATGGTACTCGCGCTTCACGTTTCTGATGGTGATGCCGGCCTTGGGGTCGGCGTCGAACGTCAGGTCCTTGGGAAGGGGCCTCCCCTCGCAGCCCGTGAGGGAGTAATTGGTCACGTCCGGGTCGGTCAGAGGGCAGCGGACCAGCGTGTCGTTGCCTTCTTTCCCGTACAGGGACAGGCCCATAAGGAAGAGCTTTGCAGGATCTGTAACATGTTAAAAAAAAAAATAAGTAAATAAATAAAAAATCAGCGATTGGAATCTGGTAACAGGCACTGAACGAACACATCACCTTTCCTAACAACCACTCCCAGGGGATCAAATGGCTGCTGAATGTTTTTCTTTGCAGGAAACAAGTAGGATCTTACCCAAATAAGACTAACAAGTAAGAGGTCATGTTTATGAAACACATTCATATGGGTAGGGCACTACGCGTGGGCCATTACACGCTATGCATTTCATTCCATTCTCAAAATACTCCTGCGGGATGGGCACTACCATTATCCCATTTTATAGATGAAGGAACTGAAGGCTCGAAAAAAGTGATTCTCCTAAAAGGGTGTCGCCTGGAAATGGCTGGGCAGAAGTCAAACCAGCTCTGACCTAGACCAATGAGTGTGCGCTCATATTTTATCGTAACTATCGCTCTTTCTCTGCAACCAGTGATACTCTAAGGAGCACTGGCCGAGAAGAAGCTGTCTGATAACACCTCTTGGGGTCAGGGCAAGGTGTCCTTCCCCTAAGCCCGTGGCTGGCAAACCGCGGCTCGCGAGCCACCTGCGGTTTTCTTTGGCCCCTTGAGTGTGGCTCTTCCACAAAATACCACGGCCTGGGCGAGTCCATTTGGAAGAAGTGACATTAGAAGAGGTTTCAGTTTAAAAAATGTGGCTCTCAAAAAAAAATTTCCATCGTGGTGCTGTTGATAGCTGGCTCTGTTGACTAAGGAGTTTGCCGACCACTGCTCCAAGCCTTCTGGGAGGGCCCAAGCTAGAAAACTATCAGCCAACACCTCAGTACAAATAGCACGGGGCCCTCACTGTATTCAAACTCCTTAAAAGTTAAATATAACTTTGGGAAATAAAATAATTTCAAACTCACAAGGGGAGTTTCTGAGTGTCGGGAATACTGCAGCGAAGAATACTTTATCGTCTAAGCCAGAACCCTTGTGGGTGAAAGGGGGTCTGATGGACTGGGAAAGCCTCAGGCAGACTGGGACCCCATATAAGCAAAGACAAACCTCACTCTGTATCCACCAGATGCTTCCACCCTTTTCCGTGTACAGATAATATAGATACCCAGTCGGACCAACAGATTTGTTTTTTATCTTTCCAATCTGGAAATTAGATGTTCCACAAAACTCAGTTTAATATAACTGAAATATACGTGTCTCACCATTTAACTCTAACCAATTTGGAAAAAAGAGTTTTCCAAAATGAATTATGTGTCTCTCTCAGCCTTACATTTATTTTGTGAATAAATTACTTCATGGTGGGTGAACAATGGTCTATGGCCAGAGTTGGCTATTTTCCCATCTACTCTTTCTCAGCTGCTGGAATCTGGCCCTTACAACAATGACCTGATTTTCTACATTACTGTATCCAAACATCTTAAATCAGTAATAATTAAGTCTAGTTCTGAGTTATGGAGGACAACCTCTCCTGTGAAGAAAATTGGTGAGTTCTGTGAGACGGGTTTGACTAATCCAGCAGTTCTCCCCCTTGAGTCCGTTGTCTACCCATCCTATTAATAAGCAGGATGCTTATTACCACATGGAAAACAGAGACCCTCTGTCGAAGAACAGGGCACAGGCAGGCTCAACAGCGACGGAGCCATGCCGAGAGGTTGAGCTGTGGCCCATCAATGATGACTCCTTCCGGCCATCCAACTCGGAGAGACAACATACAGACTAAGGAGAGGCAGAGTCAATTTCATGGCACCCTTTATGGCAACCCTGTGAGTCACCTTACTAATCCGGGTAAAGCTAGAATGTGCACGATTCTGTCTCCCGAGTGACACATTTGGATAAAGAAGACGGAGCAGGTGATTTTATCAAATGTTGCAGGGAGGAACTGAGACACTTGAGGTTACTCAGGTTTATGATTTGAGATACATGTATTCATTCTTCTTCCACAATATCACAGATAAGGCCTCCTCCTCAGGCCTGTTTCAATGAGAGCCCCACTCGAGGTACAGCCCGGGACTAGAAGTGGGCCTGTGTGTCTCTTTATAACCTGGCTGTCTCTCTTTAAGCTTCAAGTGCTTCAGTTTTCACATCAACACAAAAAAGGTACTCACTCCCCACCCCGCCCCCACCCCACAGACCTCCTCTTGACAAAGACACACAGCTGAATCACTGAGTTCATCACAGGAAATGAGTTATAGAAAACCGGCGATCGTGTTTTCCTTTTGTTTCTAAGAGGTCACCATTTTTCAAATGAATCAACTGACATCGATCAAGAACTTAGAAAGGACGCGGGATGTTCTGCCGACGGAGCTAATTTTTCTGAGTTTAATCCCTCAAAAGTGGGTCAGTCCTCTCGAAGTTGTTAGTCTTGTGGAGGCCTTTGGAGACCTTTAGTTTCCTGAAGTGTTTTTGTTTTTTGTTTTTTACTAAGTGGGAGTATCTGAGATCTCCAGGCATTCAAATGCAAGCCTTCCCAAAGGGCCTAATTTATCCTCTGGTTTACCCAGAGCACCAGGACAAATGGGCTGGCCACGCTGTAATCTCATTAGGAAGAGTGCCACAGCCTTGCGGACCTTCAGCTGGAATCATATCCAAAGCCACCGTGTACCAAAAGATGGAGAAACTGACAAAGAACAATTTGGTTTAGGCTTCCTAGATCCAGCCAGTAATATTTTACCCACGGCTCAGTCATCTATAGGTCACCCATAATTAAGAACAGGATATTAAGTTCTCTGAAGCACAGCATCAAAGAAAGCTGAGCATTTACCTCTAACAAACACATAAATGGAGCTGCTTAGGCCGTCCTCGTTGGTGCACGTGTAATTGCCTGTGTTGGTGGCTTCTGCTTTCTCCGTGACCCATTCATTGTGTGTTTTCTCACTCAGCTGACCCAGGGTCTCAAAAGTCCATTTGACAAATCCCGGATCGGTGCATAGCAGCCTAATCTCATCGCCAACACTGACGATTAACTCTGGTTTTGCTGGGTCGATGGATGGTGGAGACAGTTCCCCTGGACTCACAGATGGTTGCGAAGAGCCTGCCAAGAAAAAATGGGAATTGTGTTGAGTATGATCTTTTTTTCCCTTGGCGAAATAAAGCATCCCTTCCAATATTGATTTTCATCTCTGTGTGTACAATAAAAATAGGACAAAGCTGCCCTGCTATTTATAGTCTGAAAGAGGGCTGTGTAAAGTTTGTTCGTCTAGAAAATTAAGTTATTTCCTGCAACCCTCAATTAATCCTGAGGTAACATTGGGGGTTGAGGTAACACTTGGGTGTTGTAAGCCAAGACTGGATGCCCTGGCCTTCTCTGGGTCAAACACACAGCTGGGTCAAGTTTCCTTTCTGAATCTGGACCACTGTGATGATGCTAACACTCGGATACTGGCTTAAACACAACAAAAACAAAATCCCACTGTAAAAAAAACAACCATGGGACCATCACTCTTTTTTGGCAAAAAAATGCACATGACCATGACATAGCTTGGCTTTTTCTTAAAGCCGTGAGAATTCAATTATTTCTATGTAGTTATCCTTATATGGTGATAGTCATCAAAAGGAGAATCATTTACGAGTTTCAAACAATGAGGCAGAAAATAAGAATGCCATTTTAAAGATCAGACCACAAGATGTTTCAAGGCAAATGTTGGGTTGCAGACTAACCAACCTAATGTCTACATAGGTTTCTTCGGCAGGAAAGTAGTTTAAAGATGGAAACTTCAGTCTCTGAATATGAAGCCTGAACCTTAGAAAGTTCACAACAGCCGATTCACGCATCCACTCATGCACCTGTTGCATAAATGCAAGCATCTGTTCATTAATTGTGCTCTCGTGATCTGCAGAAGCACCGTGCCAGGTGCTGGGACAAAGTCCATGTGAGTGTGACCTGTGGTCCCTGCTGGGGGACCTAACTCCGGAGTGTCAACACACAGCTCAAGTGTCAGAATAAGTGAAACATGGCTACACACTAAAGAAAGAATAAGAAATGGGCTGGACCTTGACAATATCAAGAGGAGGGGGAAGAGAGCACAGTGGAGACCACGGGAGGTAAGACTAAGCAGGCTAAGTAGGATGGACATCTGGTATACATACCGAGACCAGGTAGAGTCAACCACACAGGTTTCTCAGCAGATAAATGGCATGCCCTGTGAGATACCAAACCTGACCTCTATTCAAGGAGATAGATGAAAAGCTCTGGTCCTCAGGGAGGCAAAAGTGATAAGGACCTACATTAAAGATTTGAGATGCAAGAGGAAGATAAATATACTGTCAGGGAAGATGGTTGTAGATTCTAGTGCATCTAAAAACACAAAAGATAGAGTCCTGGGTGACCTGAAGGAGGGAGAGAGAAGAAAAGGTCCCTGGGTGTGGTGCGCAAGGCAAGAGAAAAACAGTACACCCTGGGGGCGGGGGAGGGCTTTCCATCCCTGCTGCAGGTTCTCAAGAGGAAGTGGCTCGTGTGCAGAGTATGCATGTTCCCTCCACACACATACAAGGCTGGAGACAAAAGCCCATCTGAGCTCTGAAGAAGGAGTTAAAGCCATTCAAGCCAGGTGGAGACAGGGGCTGGAGGAAACCACACCAGGAAATCCCTCTGCAAGTTCAGGATGGCCAGGACAGGGAGATGGAGACAGTCCAAAAGGGACTGAGACAGGAAAGGCAAGAGACCTGCCCCCAGGCGCTCCCTGGGCAGTCGATGGACTTCACACTATGCTTGACATTCAGGTGGTGGAAGAAGAGCAATAATGTGAACAGTTAAAAGCCAGGGGCCAGATAATCAAGAAAAAGGACTTGTGGGACAAAGAGAAACACACTGAGTACCGACCTTAGAGAGCGCTTCCAGCTAAGAGGGGGTAGAAGAGAGTCGAGACAAAAAAAAAAAAAAAAGACCACCAGAAAGAAAGAAAGGGGAAAAGCTAAAGATGCAAGGAAGGCAACAGATAAGAGGTTTCAAAGAAAAGGTGGGCCTAGGACAGATGCTGAACAAGATGATCAAAGGGGATGAACATGAACAAAAGTCCCTAAATTTGGTTAGAAGAGACCACAGGAAATCCTAGAGTACGATTTCAGTTGAGTGGGAATCGGTTTGCCCTGAGGTTAAAGGCTGCAAGCATAGACCTCTCCTTGGAGGAAGCAGAGAAGCAGGTCGGTAGCCAAAGGCTACAACTGAAAGAACATCAAAGACCTGTTGACATGTGAAGGTAAAAAGTAAGATTGGGAAGAGGGAAGGACAGATGGACTGCGCCCTAAAGGGCCGAAACTATCCCCTGCAGGTGAATACAGATGACCAGTCTCACGTCCAGTGTGCTATCCAGACAAATATTTCATTTGGGTGCTTTTCAACCATGGCATCCATTGTAACTCCATGCCATCAAGCGAAGTACACCCCACATCAGAAGACACTGGGCAGCCTTAATGTGTAGAAGATAGCAATAAGGTCAATTGTAATAAAAAAAAAAAAATGGTACTAAGCACCAACAACATGATAAGTCCTATAGACGAATTATCTGTGCCCAGTAGGCTCAACATCTAAATGGAACTGTCAGAACATGGAAATGGAAGTGGTTGGGGTTATTTTCAAAGTCATCCAGAATATGAAATAATGAAAACAGGCACAGCCATAAACAGAGACGCTATCGTTTCAATTATTTACCCCCTTTAAATTAAGAGTAGTTCCAAGTGATTATGAATGACATCGACAGGAAGTTCAATCCAAAAATTCTTCCAGAATGTATATCCCAAACACGTCAATCAATTCAATTTTCTCATGACTGAATCTTGAGGACATATGTAGATATTGCAAATCCAGGCAAATAAATATTGCTGCCTACTGGAGACCTACCACGCCAATATAGGCAAGGCCTAGCTGTGTGACTTAAGGGAGGTCACTCAACATCTGTGTATCCAAGTTTATGCATCTGAAAAATGATGATTAAAAAAAAAAACACCTTCATCTCCTGGGAGTTATTATGGGAGTCAAAAGCAGTAAATACATGCCAGGAGCTTAACCCAGGACAGAGCAGTTTTTAGTTAAGTGCTAGCTATTACAGAGAAGCAGTAAAGCATACTAAGTTAAAGGTGTGGCTCTTGCATTAAGACTGTCTAGATTTGCTGAAACCCATTTGGCTCAGTGGATGGAGCGTAGGCCTGCGGACTGCAGTATCCCAGGTTCGATTCCAGTCAAGGGCATGTACAGTGGTTGCAGGCACATCCCTGATGGGGGATGTGCAGGAGGCAGCTGGTCGATGTTTCTCTCTCATCAATGTTTCTAGTTCTCTATCCCTCATCTTTCCTCTCTGTAAAAAAATCAATAAATATATTTAAATAAAATATATTTAAAAAAAAAAAAAAAAAAGACTGTCTAGATTTGCATCCTGGCTCTGCCACTAAATATGTAATACGTAGGCAAGTTACTAATCAATTCTACCTCAGTTTCCTCACCTGTAAAGTAGGAGCAGTAATAGCACCTGTTTCCTAAGGCTGTTATGCAAGCACTCAGAGCTGTGCTTGGGCACATAGAAAACACATGATTAATATTTGGCACAATTATTCTGAAAACAGAACTTCTTCATATGCTTCCAATCGGCCCTGACTTACTCACTTCCTATGGATGTGCAAGGTTTCATCATTTCCCAAATAGATTCCTGCTTGACTTCTACCTTTCTTGGCAGCAAGTCCCAGTAAGCTTTCCTTTGAAATCTCTATCACATCCTTTCTCCCTCTGCTGCCCCACCCCACCATAGCCATTCATGGACCTTCTTGCAGAGATAACATCCTCTCCTGAAAGGTCTCCATGACTCCAGCCTCTTACCCACTCCCAACTCATTCTATTTTGTAACCCTGAGATTAGGAAAACACCACCTTTTCAACAACCCCACTCCCAGTCTCCAAAACCCTCCCAGAGACAGCAGCTAACACTGACCTCAAGGACAGCTTACAAAGCACTTCCTTGAAATGCATTGCTGGCTGTTCCGTCTGGATCCAACCTGCCTCTCTAAGAAGACAGACCCTGGCTAAGTGTCCTGCAAACTTTCCTTATTCTTGGCATGCTCATTTTCCTGCCTGTGCCCGAGGAAATGCCTGCTCTACCAATTCACCTCCCTGCCATGTGGAATAGCCCAGTCTTCATAGACGTTGGCCCCTCACCGCTTCAGGTCAATCACCTGCCCTCACTAAATCCCACCACCATTCCAGCCCCATCAACCACATGGTTTGTACTGATGCTCTACAGTTGTCTTTATCTACCTACTCCTAGTCTTAGAGCCCTCAGAGGAAGAATTCGAAATTGTACTTTCCCTCTTTCGAGTAGTCATAAAAGCACTTCCTTCCATCCCTGACATACAGAAGACTGGAGGAGGTCAGGTTCCTAAACACCCAGCCCTGTAACAGCTGTGCACTGTCCACGCCCCAAAAGAGGTCAGAGGTCAACTCTGCACCTTCACTGAGCAAAGGGAGTGGCCGAGTTCATCCACCAATACTACCATGGATACCTGCAAAAAGGGAGCTTCCAAATTGGAGCTCACTAGTTTGTGCTTTATGCCTAGGGTTTTCAAAAAAATAAATTTTTAAAATCATTACCACCACAGCATACATAGTTTTATTTTCCAAATAAATTATTTATAAGTTCAACCCTCAAATTCACACTATTTAAATGAAAATAGAGCTTAAGGTAAAGAGGGACTGTGGGTATTACTTATTCCTTTTTCTCCAAACTATCTTGAATGCTGTTATAATGTTCTCACAATAAAAAAAAAAGACGACTATGGAGATTCACGTTAAAAGGTGTATGTGTGTGTACACACACCGACTTACTTTCTACCTTCATTATATTTAAAATCTAATACCAATAAGGCATTCCAGCTGAGTTTTGAAATTGCTCTTAAATTACATATTTTGAAATGGGTCTGGTATACAACAAGTTCTCAACACATGTTTGTTAAATTGGGTTTTATCTACATCAGGACTCTGCATCAGACAATGTACTTCCCTAATTATGTTTGGCTAGAGCTAATATTAAGGGTTGTTTTCTGTTCCCTG